TATATATATATATATATATATATATATATATATATATATATATATAAACAAAACAAAAACAGCTACATTATAAAGTGATGTAAAATACTAAAATCAGGAACATTTATTTAGTTAGCATTTATTTGAGAAGTCCCAAAGATTACAGTACAGAGAGAAAACTGCACACTTTGTAAATGCATTCAAAGGTCCAATTTAATTAATATTAAAATGTTAAATTTACTTCCGTTAAGAAATTGTCTTGCTGCTTCACTTCTCTGTTATCTTTGAGTGTACGGCTGGCATCAAATATTGAACATTTTAATATTAAAATAATTTAAAGTCAGAAAACAAAAATCATTGCCTTTAATAAGTAAAAAAAAACAACTCAGCACAAATAAGCGCATATAACACTATTACTTTGTTAAGCTTCTCAAACGTAAAACTTCCATTTGAATCATAATTTAAATGTCTTTAAATAATTAAGACAGCTGTGAATAACCATCTTTTTCAGCCGTCTGAACACACAGCATCTAAATAAACCCTGACAGTATCATGTTATTTATACCAAGTAGTATGACCTTAAATCCCTTAGAATGCAGAGAATTTAGATAATCTAAAATTATATTGTTACGTCCAAACAGCTTGTTAGAAGGACATATCCAATCATCACTGCATTCTAATTCTGTTCATCCGTTAAGCGATGAAATCTCCTTAGAGCCCTCCCCTGCCCCACTGGCCTTATGGCTAATAGACAGTCCGGGGCAGAGGATTAGGTCAGGGGGACTCTGCTTCAGCTTCCATACTGGCAACCGAGGAAAGAGATTAGCAAGTCTTTAAAACAGCCTTAGAAGCTGTTCTCCAACACTTGATTGAGGAAAGAAAAGCCCTGCCAGCTGTAGGGTAGAGCTGTGCTTCCATAGAGACTGATGGTGGGAAAAGTGAGGTAAGAATTTGTGAGACTTTGAGCAGAAATACAAAAAATATTGTTTTTCAAGAAGACATTTGTCTCAGAGCTCGTCACAGAGCCTACTGTGCTTAAATCACAGTGCTTACACACAAATGATCAATGTGCCACCGTACTTAAATTCAAAACCCTGATTCTACAACAGCGTTTGATGGATCTGAATGAGGTGAGGAAGTAAATCTGAGTGGATAACATTGTTGTAAATATACCTTCATGTAGTAAAGATGGATATAAAAAGATGTAGGTAAAAGTATGCAAGTCTAAACAGACCAGACCACCTCAGTAGCTATGTTTACATGGACATAAGTAATCAGATTAAATGGCCATTCGGAATAAAATACGTCATGTAAACGTCCCGTTCAGATTATTCTTTGTTTATCCAGTGTGATCAGAAATAATTTGTAATCAGAATGAGACGGGTGTTTATGCCGATTCATAATCCAAATGGTGTGCATGTAAACACTTAATCTGATCATTTTATTCTGACTGTGGAAAACTGACCTGACTGCGCATGTGTGACCCATGTCTACCTCACGTATTTCCACCTGGCTAGATGCTAATATGTCGGGGAAGTAAAACTGGTCGGTGAGCGACAACATTTCTACTAGAAACTTTGTAGGAGCTCAAAATGATCTGTATCACCCGTAGCTCAGTCAGGGAGTGCAGCAACGTCTCCACCATCATTAAAACCTGTCGCGGGTCCATTTTGGGCGCTCAGCTTTGTTTACGTTCATCCTGGAAGTAGAACTTCTTCTGTGGTGTTTTTAAGGAGAGTTACCACTCTGCACACGTCAGTACTTCTATTCACAATAAAAGTCCGCTGCATGTAAACGCTCATCGTGAATGGATTGTGCCCATGTAAACAATACATTTGAATTATTTAATCTGAAAACATTTCAATCCGGTCAAAGAATTTTGCACATGTAAACTTAGCTACAGTTTCTGCAAATAGACCCGTTTATGCAGTCTTTATACTGTGTGTGGATGCTTTTTGTAAAGCGAGCAGGCATTTTCAACTACTGAGTTTAATAAACATGGACAAGTCAATGCTACACATGTGATACACTTGTTTCATGAATAAGACTCAAGCAGGCAAATGTTGTCGAATTTACAAATTAGGATAAAAACATGTGAGGGGCGCACGCAGGTAGTATGTCTGTTTTCAAATGTCCTGATACAGGTTCTGGTCCTGAAACAAGTTGTACCTCTGTGCCCTTCATTATCATTTCAAACAAAGTGAGTACTGGCTCAGGATCATCAGAAGAGACGTTTCTGTTTAATTATGTAGGGGAGGGGCGGCACGGTGGCTCAGCTGTTGCCTCTCAGTGAGCAGGTCGCCGAATCAAATCCTGGTCAGGGGCCTTTCTGGGTGGAGTTTGCATGTTCTCTCTGTGCATGTGTGGGTTTTCTCCAGGTACTCTGGTTTCCTCCCAAAGACCAAAAACATGCATGTTAGGCTGATTGTCCCTAGTTATGAGTGAGAGAGTGAATGGTTGTTTGGCTCATTTGTCTCTGTGCCCCTGTGATGGACTGCAGACCTGTCCAGGGTGTCCCAACCTCTCTCAAAGACTGATGGGTATGGGCACCTGACACCCGCTACCCAAAAATGAAGAAGTGGGTAAAGAGGATGGATGGATGGATGGGAACATCTACAGTGATAGTAATACTTTGCATGAATATCATATGCAATATTCCTGATCAAATAGGTCTTTGCTGAGAGGTGATTTCTTCCTCCTGCAGCAAACGGGGGACTTTCTGTAAATTCTCTTGAACTCCCCATGTGCATGCTCAGGTGCAGTGTGTGGAAAGTGCACACATCAGGCACAGACTGTCAACAGTACAGATGTATTTAAACAGATGTTGCTTGTGCGCAATACAAAACAGCAAATGTAGCGTGTTCAAACACGAAACAGATTTTTTTATGAGCTTAATGATCGATTTGAATGGAAGTGTATTTTTTAAATTTCTTCTGTACAACCTTGACTGTCCTGGCCTAACCATGTCAATCAGAACAATCAGGTTAGATTGTGATTCACACATTCTGAGAGAAAAACAAAAAGATGCAGCCACAAACTGAACTGTCCGGCAGATGTTTCACTTTCAGATCAGAAAAATAAACACACCATTACAGAATACGGGGTGTTGGGGGGTGGGGGGGACGGGACTTACAGATGTCTGCGGTGCAGCTCCATGATTTTCTCTTGCACTTTGTCTTGGTAAGGCAACAACTTGTTCGTTCTCAGAAACTCCCGGTCTGATTCATCATCATAGTCACCAATCTCAGCTGGGAGTCAGAGAACAGCAGATATCAGATTTTATTTATTTATTATTTGTTTGCACAATCACAATAAATGTTTGCTAGCAGACTCTAAACCATGTAACATAAATTACAAATCATATTTTTAATTTGATCAAACATTAATTTGTTTTACTATTCTTCCTGATAAAAGTTTCTCAAACCTTTTAATTGAAATTACTGCATTTTTTTGCTGTATAACTCAGTTTTTTGCATAATTTACATGCCCTGCGACTTATACGCCAAAGCGATGTGGTTAGGTGGTTATCTTGTTAAATTTTGAAGAAATGGACAGCCAGTTGTCCTCTGCGCGGTCATGTTTCTGCGTATCGGCTTTGGAAAATGCAGCTGATTTGACCATCAAAGTGCATTTATTAAGGAAGCGTTAAGTGTTCATCTTCTTAAATTCTTGTTAAAGTCCTCCCATGCACGCTCCCGCGGCCGCCATTTGGCAGCCCATCGATTTATGGCACAACACCTGCCCACATTTCAGGTTGTCACTGATGACACGTAACAAACGCGACGCGTCAGTGGTGACGCATAATAGATGCCACGTATATGGCGAAGCAACATATTTAAGTGTTTTTTCCACTTTATTAGACATATTGGGACTGATGCAAATTATAGGGCGTTGACGTGTACGGCGGAAAACACAGCATACACACAAGTACAGATTGTGCTCAACTCCCTTTACTTTTTTCAAAGTACTGAACCAGAGTAACAACATTAACACACGCTATGCAACATTGTTTTAAATTGTAGTTTAAACACAGGACAGAAACCTACACTGAACGAGGTGGGAGGCCAGCAGCGCTCCAGTCTTCTCTGTGCAGATCAACCGGCCCTCCGTCAGATCTCTTTTCATTTGCAGGGAGAATAAATACCTGTTGGAGGATGAAAACAAAACATAATGTAGTGTCCATTTGTTCAAAAGGAGTAAGCACTAATCAGACTGAACATGGATTATACACGTTTCTAACAACACTGAGATTACATTTAAGGGATAGCTGATCCACTTAAAGTGTGAGTTTGTGTAAAACATCAACATCTTACCTGTTGTAGATAGCCGTTTGAGCGCCCTCCATTAGGAGAAACAGTTTTAAAGTCTGACGGGAGTGATTAGATAACATCTGGTCTAAATGCAGCTGAGTCCAGGGTGAACTGCTGCTGTCTAATCTCTAATCTGAAGCTTCAGGCCACAACATTTTATACAAGTTATTGCTAACACAATTTTTGTTTATTAACTCCAGTCAATTCAGGTTTAAAGATTAGCTAATCTCACCTGTCAGACATTTCTTAGAAAAAAATTGGTCTAACTTCAAATCAAGGCTGCACAATATTAGAAACCCCTCAGATGTGTTAATTGTGTGAATGTTTATAAATCTCATCGTTCAGATCCATTTTTCTTTCATATGTTTATCATCAAGTAACTTGTTCCACAATTTTGTGCCATTTCAACAATTCATATATCAAAACATTTGGCTCATTCAGGACGTTCCTGCTTTGACTTCTGATTAGGCCTGTCACGATAACAAATTTTGCTGGGTGATTAATTGTCTCAGAAATTATTGTGATAAACGATAATATTGTTTAAAATTTGACAATAATTAGTAATTATTGTGAAATTTAAGAAGAAATGTTTAACTTATTTTGAGTGTAGTACCTTTTTTCAACCACCAGATGGCAGTATAAGCCTGTTTGAACTGAAGGATGGATAGTGAGGGAGCGAGCAGCGTGTCTCTAAGAAAAATGGGAGGGAGACCCCTTGACGTGTCATGGGCTGTCTCTCTTCGGTTCTCAAAATGGCGGCCGCTCGGTGTGGTTTGAGCTCTTTAGCATAGCATTTGTCACACAAAGCTTTTAATAAAAATGTGAAAAAATAAAATAAAAAAATCAGTAAACAAGTTCTCAGCTTCTTTTTGCAGAGAAAAACTTTTTACCCGAAGGCACGAGTTTCAACTGTGAATTTTGGGGCTTCGACAAGACGGAGGTTTTTTACCCCGAGGTCGGCCTGTTAGCTTAGCTCGTAGCTTAGCTTCTCAGCTTAGTAGTAGAGAGAGACACAATGCAACCATAGTCGATAAATGAAAATGAGGTCAATAATTTTCATTTATCATGCGATTAATTGATTTATTGTTTATTGCGACAGGCCTGCTTCTGATGTTTGTGCAACTTTTATTTATTGACCATTTTAGCTTTTTTGGCCATGTTTGTCATCACTGAAAATAAACAGGAGCTCTCTTCACATCCTTCAAACTCTTTGTGCTGTTCCGGGTTCAACTGTCCCCCTCTTACAATGCTGTTATTGCTAGTATCAATCAACCCCCTGTGAATAGTAAACAGCCATCAGTGTGCTAATGATCCATTGTTAGGCTGATGGTCCTTCTTGAGCATGTGATCAGCTGGTTTTGGTTGTCAGCAGCAAAACTGGTTGATCCACTCTGAGAAGGTGCTATTTATAAGACTGAGCTGAATACAGCACCTCAGACTGAGGAAGTCTCTCGGATGAAAGACAAAATGTATCATTTTTTTGCTTTGTTTTGTTTTTTTGAATGTCCAGAGGACCAGACTGACCTTTTTTGGATTTTTCTACCTGGATTATTGAGCATGCATCAGGATACCTTTGTGCTCTTTCGCTGCTCATTTCAGTTTCTTTGTGGCTGATTTCAGATTTTTGTAATCTATTCAGCCTCACTGCCCATTTCAGCTTATTCTGCTCAGTTTTGCTACATTTCTGCTGTTTTTCTTCCGCTTTCCGCTTTAATTTTCCTGCTTTCAGCAAATATTTCAGCAAATTCAACTTTCAGTTTAACCATGAAACTTTTTCAGCCTGGTTTCAGCAAAGACCATTCAGCATTAAGCAGTCACACTGCATTTTAGAAGGGGATGCAATTTTTCTGGTTGTGTTTAATCCTGAAATGAATATATAAACTGTAATAAACCCACATTTTCTTCACTCAAGGTCACCATAATCTAAACAAGGTGTGGGCAGAAAGGCCCTTGGGAGATTGATCAAATATATTTTTAGCATGCAGAACATGAATGCATGGTTCTTGAAATGTAATGGCACCTAATTTATTGCAGATCAAGCAGTCCTTTGGGATTTTTATACTGTACTCTGATTCTGCAGTGACAATAAGTTCTTGATACACAGCCATAATTTAAATTCCATTTCTCCAGCCGGAGGTCTTTTAAAAAAACATTTACAAGCAAGATGTTATTTTTAACTCTTCTACAAAAACCCTCTTCAAACTGACAAAGACTGCAACATACTCGACAAGAAGCAAGACATCTGTTCTCACTGATGTAGCTGTGAGACGTTTCTCTTCGCACGGACATTTTAAACTCAAAAGAGAAACTGTAGTTAGAACTCCCTCCTGCTGCAGCGCACGTCACATGCAAACAAAAACAACACAGCAACAGCACGCTTGGCAGATGGGATGTTTATGTTCTGGTGATAGAGTTGGAGGAGAGAGATCTAGGATTTCTGTTGTTAACCGTACAGAAGCACTTTTTGAAACACCCGTCATTGATGCATCCTGATGCATGCTCAATAATCCAGGTAGAAAAATCTAAAAAAGTTAAATCTGGTCCTCTGGACATGAGACTGAGGACTCAGACTGAGGAAGTCTCTCGGATGAGAGACGAAACGTTTCTACATTTTTGTTGATTTGCTTTGTTTTGTTTTTTTGAATGTCCAGAGGACCAGATTTAACTTTTTTAGATCCGTCATTAAGAGACCTCCACCATTTCTGACCTGTTTTAAGTTTGGCTGGAACAGTTACAGAACAGGTTTTCAATTCAGTTTATCTATATAGAGCCAAATCACAACAGAAGTTGTCTCAGGGCACTGAATAGAAACATTCGTATACATTACAGAAGCCATTTAATAAGTTATCGATCTAAGGAAGCAGCAGACCCGTTGAGTTTTCACTTCATCACAGTCTCCCATCCTGAGCTTGAATGTTTTCAGAGGTTGCCCAAGAACAAAAATGTGTCATTTTGGTCAAACAACCGCTCGCTCCCACCCTCCCTCCATCCATCCATCCATGGGGGCAGCAGGTTGAGCAGGGAGGTCTAGACATCTCTTTCCACAGCCACCTCTTCCAGCTCTTCTGGGATGACTCCAAGGTGTTCCTGGACAAGCCAAGAGACGCAGTCTCTCCAGCATGTCCAGGGTCTTCCCCGTGGTCTCCTCCCAGTTGGACACGCCTGAAGCACCTCTCTAGGGAGGTGCCCAGGAAGCATCCTTACCAGATGCCCGACCCACCTCAACTGGATCCTCTCAATGTGGAGAAGCAGCGGTTCTACTCCGAGTGTCTCTTGATAACTGAACTTCTCACCCTGTCTCTAAGGGAGAGTCCAGCTACCCTGCAGGAGGAAACTCATTTCAACCGCCTGTATCCACAATCTTATTCTTTCAGTCACTACCCAGAGTTCATGACCATAGGTGAGGGTAAGAACGTAGACCAACAGGTAAATGGAGAGCTTTGCCTTACAGCTCAGCTCCCTCTTCACCAAACGGACCGGCACAGAGTCCGCAATACTGCTGACGCTGCACCAATCCGTCTGTCAATCTCATGCTCCATTCTTCCATCATTCATGAACAAAACCCTGAGATACTTGAACTCCTCCACTTGAGGCAGAACCTCACCCTCGACCTGAAGAGATTCACACTTTTTTCCGACAGCAGCTGCAACAATGAGAACAAATTTCTCTACGTCTTGCCGAGTATGTAGCAGGCTTTAGTCTTTACATTAAGTCAATGAGTATTTAAATGTGATTTTACTACAACTCTTTATTTTTCTACAATGATCTGTAGGAAAAAATTAAAATGCAATCTTGCATCTTAAGCTCAAGGTAAAATGAACCTCCACAAGGAATTGAGTCACTGACCTGGTGTACTCCTCCTGCAGCTGTCCCGGGTCAGGCGGGAAAAACTTCACTGAAAGTCTAAAGAGTGTGTTGGTTGGTCCTGTAGATCATAAAAACATAACCAGTTTGAATACACGTCTTTTATAGATGAATGTTCTAATGTGCTAGCTTACTTACTCCTGACTTGCTTTACAATGAGTTTTGTTGGATCCAACCAAACCTAAGAAGAAGAAGAAACAGTTTCATGTTTACAACCTTTGAAGCCCAAACTTCAGCTGAAAAGGATGGCATGATGAAGTGAACATCTGGGCAAAGGTCTTTACAATCACAGAAGAATAGTGATGCAAACAGCTCCTTCAACCACCTTACTGAAGGAGAATAACTTGGGGGAATTGACCTGTCTGACAGAGGACCATGCATACACGTGTTAAAAGTACTGAGTTAAACACTTCTAATATTATACCTTTGCAGTTCAGTAAAGTGAAGTCGTCTGGGACAAATCTGCAAACCTCATCACTTATTGATGGAGATAAACCAAAGTGAACATCCTGAAGTTCCTTTAAAAAACTAAAACTGATTGTTGGTGCTCTCACAGTTGAATGCTAGAGCGGACCAGCCAGTGACCTTTTTAAATCAGCTGCATTCTGAAGGAGATGGTGCACGATGTGTTAAATGGCTCCTCAGTTGGTTTATAAAACCTCCTAGGTGGCCTTATGTCCCACTTATGTTTAAAAGAGAACAAATATTTGAAACTCTGACAGTCAATTGCAGACACTTGTGCTGGAGAAGTTTAAAATGCGCACAGATTTACCTTGTGAAAACAAATCCTCATTGTTTGTACAGTTTAAAAGTACTGTCAAGATCAGCTATGAGTATTAAACATTGATGTTTAACTCATGTACTCACGTTTGTCTTATCAAATGATGACCTGTCACTCATTATTAATTTGTATGTCCTAAGCTTCTAGAAATGGAACAAGGATTGAACACAACACACGCTGTTGTCTCCGTCACTGAGGGATTTGAATAGTGAACGTTTCTAGTTTTGGGGATGAGTGTTTTTCTGGACTGGAATTCATCAGGGAATGCAAGTGAACCTTAATGTTTTTGGTGCAAGATATTCGAGTGGGTAGGAGTTCCTCTGTGTATACAAAGAGAGGTACTTTTTTTAATGTTGCTTGTCTGAGGCAGCACAGAATGAGAGATCTTGGAGAGTGAACAATTTTATCCACAGCCAGGTGCAAAGGCAGAGCCTGGGGTGACCAACAAGATTAATTCTCAGCCCATCCCGATCATTTGAGGAAACTATATTTTTAAGCAATATAAAAAGCATAGTTTCCTCAAATGATAGGGATGGTCACTTTGGCATGCATCTACAGTGATGCTTGAAAGTTTGTGAACGCTTTATAATTTTCTATATTTCTGTATCAATTTGACCTAAAACATCATCAGATTTTCACACAAGTCTTAAACGTAGATAAAGAGAACCCAGTTAAACAAATGAGATAAAAATATTATACTTAGTCATTTATTTATTGAGGAAAATGATCCAATATTACACATTTGTGATAGTAAAAGTATGTGAACCTTTGCTTTTTCTCTGCACTGCACCTGTTAAAGTAAATGTTTATAAAGTAAAAATGTCTTGTCAAAATGTGCCATTAGTAACAAACACCTGTACATTAAAACCCAGAGCTACTGTATTTACATGGTGTCCCTTTTGTCCATTCCAGGTCTCCTTTGCTTCCAGAGGCATTTTTATCAGATACCTGAACCACCTCAGCACCTCAGCTGACTCCTGTAGATGCAGAGGAGCAGCATCTCTAATCGAAGTCCTGCCAATGACAGAACTCCTCAACTTATCTTTAGGCCGAGCCTGACCACCCTTCAAAGTAGGGATGAACAATTAATTGCACTTGCAATAATATCGCATTATGATAAAATGAGATTTTCTAATTGCAAAGGCTACAATGTGACTGGTCGCGTGATCTGGTTACGTGACTTGCGAGTGAGCGGAGCAGAGAGTGGGAGAAGTCAACACTGCACTTTAACTGGTTGCACAATGGTGTCAGGCTCGACAGAAGCTGACACATCTGAAAGTTTGGTACCAAAGAAGCAGCACGTCTGTTGTTTGGAATTATTTTGACTGTAAAAAAGGAAGACGCTGCACAACGACATGTATTGTGCAGAACCTGACTTACTGCTGCTGCTACCTCTAAATCTTTATCAACACTTAAAAACCACCACAAAGCCATTTACGATAGTTGCATGACTAGAATACCAACGACCAGCGCTTCAAGTAAGCAAAGTACCAGACGACAGGATCACTGACCGCACTGTTCCAAGGTATTACTCTGTATGAATATAATTTGAAACGGCACGCAGAAATAACTCGAGCAATAACGGGAGTTCATAGTGAAAGACATGATGCCCATTAACACAGTAACCAAACCTGGGTTTACAGCTTTGGTAAACAGTGGATAAGTGGTACAGAATGTTCTCATGAACACATTTTAGCCAAGTTGCTATCATGGAGCTATAAAAAAATGCAGAAACAGAGTTGCAGCTGAGCTAAAAACGACTGAAACAGTTTGATATATTGCTTGTGTTCATTGAAAAGTACACGAGAAGAAGATATTGAAATCACATATTAAATTGCAATCACTATACTGAGGTAAAAAAAAATTTTTTTTTTTAAATCGCAATTAGAAAATTTTCCAAAATTGTTCAGCCTTACTCCAAAGGCAGCTCATTTCAGCTGCCTGTATCCACAGTCTCATTCTTTCCATTATGAACCAAACCTTGCGACCACAGGTTAAGGTTAGAACGTAGCTGGACCAGTAAAGTTGAGAGCTTTGCATTTCAACTCAACACTTTCTTCCCTATGACAGAGTGAGGCATTGCCTTCATTACTCAGAACAAGGCCTTCAGCTGTTGATCAGTCTCCCTCTCCATCGTCATCCATCACTCGTGGACAAGACTCCTAAACACTTGAACTCCTCCGTTTGAGGCATAGACTCATTCCCTACCTCATCCGAACGTTTCACGGTTGAGCACCATGGTCTCTGACTTAAGAGTAGTTGACTCTCATTCCAGCTGCTGAACACTCCAGTGCATGCCGACGGTCATGGACTGAAGACACCAACAGAACCACATCATCCACATAAAGCAGAGATGAAACCCCAATGTTCCCAAACCAGATTCCTTCTTCTCCAGAACTCTAACTTGTGAAGTCTTTCCACCTCTTTTTAAATCTGTATTTCTGTATCAGCTGAACAGAATGTTGAATTAAAGGTAAATAAGCATTGATTATTTTTCTGAGACTATTTTCAAACAACAAAAAGTATGCATCGGTTCATCATGTTAATAAAATCTCAAACCACTGGACTGATCTTAGTTAAACTCTCACACAGTAAAGTAAATTGGATGTAGATCTACAACAAAACTTTTGAAATCAATATGATCTAAGGTGGCCGACACAGAAAAGCAACCTTAGCAAACACAATGACCGAGTGTTATGGATACTGTACTTAGCCAGGACTTAGTTTCTTAGTAGCTTAATTAGGTTGTCACCTTATACTTGGAGCATTAATTAATTGCACAAAAGGAGTTTTTAACTTTGCCTTGCCTATTCAGTTAACTCTGTATGTTTGTTATCAAAAAATCTCAAACGACTGGACAGATGATAATGAAATACAATCCCTGGATGTGCATCTACAACTGAACAACTTTATCAACAAACCCAATTTCCATTTTAAGATGACAACCACAGCTAATTAAACTTAGCCTGCACAAAAATGACTATAACTTTGTTTAATTGACAGATACTGAGCTAAAGTCTGATGTGGTGGCTCAGAGTCATGCCCAACAGATACCCAGAGTGCCAAGACATCTTACAAGATCACATGAGATTACACATTATAAGTTATTTTAAGGTTTGACCAAAACGATGGCCTTGGTCGCCAAAGATTAATCTTCAGCCAGTAAGAAAAGTATAGTGTAGAATATGTGATGCAGATGCTAAAGATGAGGTAAAGTAAAGTGGTGATCACTCAGCATTAGTAGTAGGCCAGAAGATTCTAAGGTTTGGCTCAGGAAGGGTTATGGTTGCATTTAAGAGCAAACAGGAAACGGGAAAATGGTGCATAAGGTGATTTGTATTAGAGTTGAGACGTTATTTATAATATATATAAAAAAAGCTCCGTCACCAATGTATGAACTGGTTCATTATTTCAATAAACACAATATTTCAATAGATAGCTGAACAGATCTCCCAAATTACCCAGACTAAATCCAGATGCTAGTATTAATCCCACCGATCACAAGATACCAAGACCAGGGCAGTAGTCCCGATAGGTTCAAGGGGTTTAAACGGTTTAATAAATCAATAAGACTAATCTTTAGGGGCATTTGGTATATTTAAAGGTTCTTGTGTGTGTGAAGGGAGAAGGCTACAGTGACCCCTACTGCACAAAACAGATCCAGTTCTGGCTCCGGGTTCTTTGGGCCTGAAGCCTAGTGGTAGCTCGCCATCATTAAAAAAAAAAAAAAAAATTAATCTCTTTGACCTTCTTTTATTCGGGCTGTGTTTTTCATTTGCACTGATTTGTGGTGTCCTGTTTTTATCTTGTTTTATCTTGTAAAGCACTTTGGTCAATGCAAGGCGTTGTTGGAAGGTGCTATAGAAATAAAGTTTATTATTATCATCATAGGAAATCAGGACAGTTCGTTTGTTTCCAGTCTTTAAGCACAAAATACAGCCGTTTCTCACAGCACAGTCATCTAAAAGCTGCAGCAGCTCTGAACTTTACCAGTCACACACCTGCTTTCCCAAACAATGGGAGGTGCCATGATTTTTAGGGATGCACCGATCCACTTTTTTTTTTTTTTTTTTTCCGATTGCGATACTTAAATCTGAGTACCGGCCGATACCGATCCAGTTCCGATATCATCATCATTGATTTTATATGAGGCTGTAATAATCTCCTCTCAAGTACAATTTGTACAAATATTTGCATGCATGTCCAAAAAGGCAACTTGAGGTAAGTTTTATTAATGTTGGATGTTTTAAAGTTAGAATTAAATTCTAACACAAAACATGTTTATTTTTATTCCTAGCTTTAAAGTGGATATTAAAGTGATTAATTTAAGTGATTGTTTAAAGTTATTTTATATTTTTTTAAATAAGGGGGATATATAAGAATTTTTCTTCTTTCTGCACTCTTCATTCAGTGTTTTCTTTTTGATGAATTTGTTTATTTTGTCTCTTGAATGAATAAATGAATTAAATAAAAAAAATAAAAAAATGGCTTTAACCATCCGCTAAGTTTGTGGCATAAACCAACACATATGTTTTTTAGTATTTTGCATCACTTTATGTTATGCTGTTTTTTTTTTTAATATAACTTTCTTGTAATTTTTAATTCATGTTTTTTTTTTGTTTTTTTTTTATGATTGTCTACTGTTGTACCGTTTGTCCTGGAGGGTAAACTATATCTTGACTGCAAGTATCAAGCTGCGAAATCCTTCATTTTCTACAACTGATAGCAGTTGATCATTAATTATGATGAAGTTTAGCAACTTCTCGGTAAACATTCGAGCTCCGGGGCTTCAGCGATGTCGAAAATAACAGAGCGCTGAAGCCCCGGAGTTCGAATGTCCATCGTAAAACTAACTTTACCGCGGTTTAATGTGGCGCTATGGCTCTGTAGACATTGCACGTTGCTGTCTTGTTTTGTGGTGTTTATAGTGTAAAATACTTCCACACAGCGGACATGTTTCGATGAAAAGTTTGTTAGCTGTTAGCCACAGTGCTGCTAACTCAGTCCTCACATTGTAGCTGGCTGCAAACTATGAACTGGATTTCCTGAATGTGAGGCGGGTCTTATTACTCTGGGTTCATGAGACACGCCGCCGTTCAGGAAATCCATTCCATAGTTTGAAGTCAACGTGCATCATGGATCAGAAATATCGGCAGGTTGGATCGGAAAAATCAGACACGTAAAATTTGCTGGTATCGAAGCCCGATACTGGATCGGATCGGCCCCATCCCTAACGATTTTTCTATAAAACTTAAATCGCACAAAATCTCGCAAGATTTCACACTTCGACACAAAACAGTGGACAGGGTGAAAATATAAGATTGAAAAAATGTCTGCAAGCACTAAAAATAACTGGGTTACAGTAGTTTCATCCAATGAGAAGGGTGGTCAGTTAACATACATGTTGTACCTCACTTATTTTTCAAATCATCATGCCCACATGGACAGAATTTCCAATTGCCACTCTTCACTCTGCGACAGAGGATAATTATTTAAAGGTCTCTGCTTTGTACGATAGTCGGTTATAAATGTTGTTTGGTACTAAGATCCATCTCTTTGCTCTGTGAGTGGTGATGTTTAGATGTAGAATGTTGAGGAGCTCTGCTCTTATATGTTGACTGTCTGTCTTACTGCCACTTTTGTGACATTAAATCACAAAGAATGTGTGTGTTATGTGAACTGGAGGCATCCAAGTAACTTACTGAAACTGAGATCAATATTAGATGGAAGATGTCATGTTAAGACAAGAAAAATACTGGAATGATTGCAAGGCTTTCAACCAGAAGCACGTCTGTATTGAAAGAGATTTGCTTCATGTGAAAAACAAATCTCAGATTGTCATTGTAAAATTCACACCCTGGTACACAGTTTGTATGTTCCAAACAATAAAACTCAGACACCGTTGCTGGTGTACATACCCAGTTCATCTGCATGTTCTGAAACTCCAGGCCGAAGTAATCACTCTCGATGAGGTTACCTCTATGGAAAACCTCAGAGAGAAGGTTCTGTCCAAGAGTTTTGGGCTGAAAAGGAAGAAAAAATCAATTGAATGTTGACAGTCATGAAAAGAATGTCTCAGAATTTTATATATTCTCCTGCAGCACATTTCCAGCCTCTAAACCGGCATTTGAAACGTTGGTTTAGAAACAAACAGTACTCTGATGTCCCCCAGCTGAGAAATTTGAATAGTGAATGTTTGTCGTTCTTGAGACAAGTGTTTTTCTGGACTGGAATCAAACGGGGAATGTCAGTAAACCTTAATGTTTTGGTGCAAGATCAAGGTTCAAATTGGCTTTATTGTTATTCGTTTCACATGTGGTACATGAGGTGGAACGAAAGTGCAATCAAGGTTCCAGTTACACCCCAAATTAGCAAATACATAAAGTGTAAAAATGAAACAGTATACAAGGAGCTAAGATATGTGCTAAACAATAATGTAAAACAATACAGTGTATTAAACAGCAGCCTGAACATGAGTCTGTTGTGAGCAGATGGGTATGAATACAGCAGCTTAAAGGCAAGAGATCAGCAGCATGGATAATCAGCAGCACAACAAAGATATTCAAGTGGGTAGGAGTTCAGGAGCTCAGAGTGAGATTTCCTTGTGAGCTGAGGGTGCAATTCCATCCACCATCAGGTGCAACAACAAAGCCAGTGGATGGCCTGTGGTGGCCATAGCTACTATAGATTGTTTTACTTTTAAGTAATATAAAAACTAGAAAGCATAGTTTTCTCAAATGATGGGGTAGTTGGTTTATGTATGGTGGTGGCCATCTTGGATTTTGAAGTGGCAACCCAAATTTTAATAGTAACCTTTCTTATGCATAGATGCAGCCACACACTCAAATGGAGGTTGGTGCTTTACTTAGTTTCTAGTTATCATGCTCACAACATTCAGACGAACAGACGTACAGAGGGAGGACATTTCCATTTGCCCCATTTCGCCTGCGATAGAGAACAACTAAAGAAAAGAGCACCGCTGAGAGAAACCATCTTGAAAAACAAAAACAAATCTCGGCTAAAGCTGAAAGGAAGGATGACCATGGTAGCATTAAACTGAACACTGGGCCAATGCCATGTGTCTGTGGTGCAGAAAACATCTGCCATCTGCAAATGATCCACTTCATTATGTTTGATGGCTGTGTATGTTCCATCTGTCGATTACAACAGCTGTCTTTACCTGAATAAAGAACTGGTGAACTGAAGAAATGGTTTAAGTGTTGCATCGAGTGGCTCTGAACATGCAAGAATCTGCAGAGTTCACCTTCTCAGCTCTCTGGTTTGTTTTCACTAAACGAAGAACTAATTACTATGTACTAAGATCACACTGCACTTGAGGTTTGGAAACCCAGTCTGTGACTTTTTGAGAAAATTATAGCCTCAAACATCTGGTTGTAATGTGAAATTGTATTTTTAAAAGCCTTATAAAAAGAACTTCTCTGCATCAACTGAAGTAAAGCATTACAGCTCAGAGAGCACCAAGAGATTTACTGTAGTCAATCTTTTCATTACTTTGGTCCAATCACATGGTTTGTATATAAAAAAAAAAATCTGACAACATCTGCAAATGTACGAATCCGTTGTAAAATCCGTCCTTTTGAACACATTTACAGTATCGGATTACAGCTGAAGTCAAACTGAGAGCAAAAAGCCGTGTGGTAAAATACTTTGGCTGGCCTCTGAGTGAAAGCTAAACATGCAATCCAGACATTAGTGAGTATTCTGAAGGAATCAGTGAACGTTTGGAGGCATTTGACAACCTGGCTGCCTTGGACAACTCAAAGAGAGATCTGAAGAAAAGTTAAGAACAAATCATCTCTTAACTGTTAGTTTTTTATGCCCTCAGTTTGTGTGTGTGTGTGTGTGGGGGGGGGGGGGGGTGACAAGAGTTTAATTCTGACAGGACTGACAAGTAAACAGCTAAGACCAAAGCAGGTTTGATTGTCTTAAAGCAACTCCCAGCTTGGATCCAAAAAAATAACCCAATTTCAAGTGTATATCAGTCATCTATATTTCCACTGACTGCCTCCGCTCAGCCCTCAGACCAATTCTGTGTGGTGGGGAGACACCAAATGTCCCTTTTTCCCCCATCATAACCCCCTCCTCCGTACCGTGCCCCGAGCTCCTGGGACTTATGCATCTAAAACTTTGATTTGTTTTGTTGTTTAACTGTTAATGTGTTTGGACCAACATCTTCAGCATACAGATGTTCGACTTGCACACACGATCAAACTCCTGCTGTGTTCAGCTAAATGCAGCTCCTCAGACTGAAGAAGTCTTTCGGATGAAAGACGAAACGCTTCTTCATTTTTATTATTTTTTTGCTTTGTTTTGTTTTTAGTCTAGAGGACCAGACTTAACTTTTTTGGATTTTTCTACCTGGATTATTGAGCATGCATCAGGATATGTACTGCGAAGAATTAAACGCAAGTAAATAAATGTCAAATATGGAACATTAATTGTATTAAATGACTAAATGAGCAGAAATCTTTGAAATGCAATCTATCTGAGTGAAGGTCATTTTAATACAGAAATCATTCTGTATGGCAAATATAAATGGCAATTTTTAACTTATTTTGTACTGTGCAAAGATCTACCTGTGCTATCATTTTTTTATATCACCCTTAAGAATATTTTTCTTTTTCTTTCGGCTGCTCCCTTCCTCAGGGGTCGCCACAGCGAACTAACTCACACAAAGAGTTTTTTTTACACTGGATGTCCTTCCTGACACAACCACAGATCACCGAGCTACCACAGCTCTCTGTGTGGAGCAGAGAGCTGCTATCTGCCCGGGAGAGCAGATGGTGGGGGTGCGTCATCTTTCCCACCCACATTTTGATATTGTCTTTCCGAGGGATTGAACCAGCGACCTTCTGATCACTGGCTCGCCTTCTCCAACCTCTGCATCACTACTCCCACCATCACCCTTAAGAAGATAAACTTACATAAAAGCAAAAGCATCCTTTCAGTGTTGACGTTTTAGGAGTTCATTACTGTAATCATGTTTTGATGTCAACAATGTTCAGTCAGGTCATCTGGAAGGTTTCTTTTGTTGCAGAGACGTTTCATCCTTCATCCGAAGGACTTCTTCAGTCTGAGGAGCCCATCAAACCAAACTGAATCCCACAACCAGCTCACTCCCAGAGTGGAAAAAAAACAGTTAGCTGGTGATAAGATGGCCTCCGGGGACCGCCCTCTGTCCCGTCAACTCCCCCAAGGCAGACATGCCAAAGTGGTTCAAAACACCAAAGTACATATGTTCAGAGTATCTGAACTTCTTGGAGTCCCTGACGGGTGCTGCAAGGTGCGCCAGCTGGGGACTCCTTTATTCTGCTGGGGGACTTCAATGTCCATGTGGGTAATGACAATGTGACCAGTAGGGGTGTGACTGGGAGGAACGGCCTCTCTGATCTGAACCCGAGCGGTGTCTGTGCTAGTCAAAGTTTGTCCACCACGAACACCATGTTTGAGCAGAAGGGTGTCCGTAACTGCACTTGGCACCAAGATGCCCTAGGTAGTAGATTGATGATTAACTTGTGTGAAAATCTGAGGTTTTAAGTCATATTTATACAGAAATATAGAAAATTATAAAGAGTTCACAACCTTTCAAGTATCACTGTCGATTTTATCTTTAACTGAAATCTACAAAAACGTCTTCCTAAAAGTCCATCCAGCATTACAAGTTCAGGAACATGCGTGACGTGACAGAGATCATGTTTTGTTCACACCCAACTTCTGGTGAGGACCACGGTCTCATCTTCGAGCACCACCATTTAGTCAGGTCAGTGGGTCATCCAATCAAGCTTTGAAAGCAGCAGGGATTATTGCCAACAGATGTTTCACTGGAAAATAAAGCTTTTTCTCCCAAAGGGTGTGGTTGGTGTGTGTGTGTGGGGGGGGGGGGGGGGGATACAAGTAGGAAGGACCAGTCTGCTGTGGGGAGGGCTTCCATTTATCATGCACAGACAAGGGAAGTAAAGAAGAAACTACCTAAATATCATCCAGCTCATTTTAAATCCAGGACCTGGGTGTGCCTTGCACAACAGGTCGAACCAAACTTCCAGTGAATACTGGTGATCTCAGCCTCCCACGGACAGCAGGGGTGTGTTGGGGCTTGTATCTAGCACAGTGGGACACGCATTTGTTTAGAAACTTGCCACCAAGAGACTTCCTTGCTGATATACATTTTATGACTATGCAAACCTGTGACCACTTTCACAAGTATGTGAAAGAATCTCTACGGTCTTTAAAGCTTCTCTGCAAAGTTATTTTCTTCAGACTCACAGATGGTTCTTCTTAAAAAACTTGGTTATTGAACACACCTAAACACACGCTGCTATCAACAGTGTTTGCCTGCAGTTCAACTTTATTTGCTGGCAATCAGGATCAGGTGGTTTACAGTGGGTCTTCTTCCCATGTCAGCCATGAAACTCGAGCACTTTGCACACAACTTAAAGTCAGGTCTTATCGGTGTCATGTGTGAAAGTACAGAGGCCAGAGGAAGGGTGGGGTGAAAAGGACAGCAGATGTAATTACACTGCTGAATTGGTGTGCATCTGTGAAGTGGAAAGTAATAGGCACTTTCACAAAACAGCTCAAATCAGACTTGGAAAACAGTTCTGAATAGATCAAGGCAGCGGGGCGGGCTGGGGGGGCGTCGAAGCAAGTAACAGCACTTTAATGATTGGTAAGGTCAGTAATGAAAAATAATGCACAGCAACTTTGGATTTAGTTTTAAAATGTATTGCCATTTACTGCTATACTGTATGTTTTATATTTTTTATATATTTCTGAAGTCTTCATCTAATCTTTCTACTTATTTTGTTTTTTATGACGTGTGCTGCTGCCTGTTCTCAGCCAGGTCACCCTTGTGAAAGAGGTCTTGATCTCAATGGGTTTTTATCTGGTTAAATAAAAAGGTTTAATAAAAAATAAAAATAAAAAGTTAACCACAAAAAAATAATTAAACTGAGTTTTCTAATAATTTTTTGGAAACGGTGGCAGACGTCTCTTGCATATTTCA